TACTCCTTTTTCAAAAAGTATTCTTTTCACTCTGCTTGAGTTTTCTTCTTCACATCTATGAAAACAACAAAAACCTACACACCTGCTAAGTGAACACATTAACATGCAGTAAAACCTTAAAACACTTGCTTTGGGGTTTTGTAGCTACATAGAAGAGCTTTCTTTGCATAGCAGACTTGAAGAATAAATAGAAGTGTTCCAGGCATGTGTTGCTAAAGTTTAAGCTAGAATGTGTTTTTTCTTAATTTTTAACATTTCTCATAATCTTTAAAAAAAAGAGAGATCATTAAGGTTCATACTCTGTTGCTTATTTGCTTTACTTATTTGCTTTGAATTTTATTCTTGTCTCTGTTATCTTCCCTAACAGGTCCTTTTTATACTTTATTCTTTATTCTTTTTAATTTTTAAATTAAAGGTTAAAAGGTAAGTACCAAAAACTTATAATTCAGAGAGCATTCCTTCATATTCCTAGTCATGTTCACATGAGGTTTGAATATTCTATTTCTGGCTGAATTATTTTCCAAAACTCTGTTGACATCTTTCTCATCTAGTGTCAATTTCTCTCTTATTTTCTCTGTCTTCATGGATTTTACTTTTTAATTGAATTCACTGCCATTTTCATGGCAAAGAAATGAAGTAAAGGTAAATATATTCAATTCTTCATATTTAACTGAGAAGATTATTTTCTATTTTTGAGGCTACAAAAAACTGTAGAATTAAAAATTCTGGTCTCGCCCCTCATCTATGGTTTTTATAAAACAACAGAGCTGTTAAACTCTGTCCTGGTTTTTCTTTGGCGATTGTGAGCATTTTTTGCTTTTGTTTTTACTTTCATTTTAATTCACCCAGATCCTTCCTGTGGATCACAGAAAACCTGCTAAAGGTGAGGCCACATGCACCTAGACTGAGTGAAAACTAGCACCGGTGACCTGTGTGGCACTTTAATTTGGCTTTAATGATAATGTGCTATTCTCCAACAGTAACTTTCTCATTTCCCTTTCTTTCTTTTTTTTCCTTTTTGAAACTTTTTTTTTTTTTTTTGTCTTTTTCCTTTTTACCGGTACCAGGGGTTGAACTCACGACTGCCTGCTTGCAAGGCAGGCACTTATGCCGCTGAGCTAAATCCCCAACCCCTCTTTTTTTCCTTTTGATGCTCCTATTTTTCAATGTGTCTTTTCCCAGTAAGAATTTTTAAGAGTTCCTCCCCACATTTCTATTTCCAGCGCACTTTTATTTTCCGTTTTTTCTCTTCTTGGTGACATGCACTGTTTTTTGTTGTTCCCTCACGTGTCACTATTGTCCCACCAATAATCCCTGCTCGCTCAGGAAGGCCCGTGGTGCCCTTCAGAGGCCTCAGCTTTCCTTTCACTCTCAAGAGCTTTCTTCATGCAATTAAAATCAAACTCCACCCACTCTTCGGCTTCTCCAAGGAACAGGATTTTTCTCGTTAATTAGCTTCCTTATTTGACTATTGATTTGTCTTCATTCTGATGGAAATTTGTTCTCTACTTGCAGCTTTATTTCTCCAGAATCTGAGAAACTTCAAGTGTCTGGAATTCATGATCAAAAAATCCCCAAAAAACAAAATAAAAACAAAAACAGTACTGCTTTTTCACCTTATATATCTCTATTTATAGCCTCTACTTTTTCTGGCTTATACATCCTATCACTTTTATTGGCTTGTTTCCTATTTTTATAAGCATATCCTGAACTTTTGCAAACCTAGCCAGAAAAATAACCTTAGTTACTTATATTTCAATTCTAATTATTTAACTTTGAGGTTATTTTTGGTAATTTCTAGTGAAAACCTAGTTAACCCTCCCCTCTCACAAAAGGAAATTGTCCCCAATTTCCTTAACTAGCTTTCCTTTAGTTTTAGGATAATCTTTTTTTTCCTCTCTAGTAACTGTTATAGGCAGCTGAGTTAATTAGAAATATTATAGGCAGTCAGACAGGGCTGGGCCCTTGAAGGAGCCAGTGAGCAAGACCAGATACCTTGCAACCTTGAAGGACACAGACATCTGCTTGGAGCCAGATATCAAAACAAAAAACAAAACAAATGTAGCCACACCCAAGTATAAACATCAGCGATTGATATTCTAAATAGGTATTCCTGGGGCCTTGAGGAAGCCAGGAGACACTAACTCAACCCCATACAGCCAAAGGCCCTGTTCTGTATTCACACCCTCTTGCCATGAGACTCACTTCCCCATTGGATCCTGAGTTAATCAATTTTATCTGCGCAATTACACTCATAATCTTACTAGTTGACCATAGTTCTGTCCCACCTTTTGTCCACCTGCCTTGCGAGTTTCTATTTTTCCCCACCTTGGACCCACATCACTTGGTTTTGCTCTATAAAAGTCCCTAGAGAAGACTGAGTTGGGTCTCTCTTGGACAGAAGCTTGCTTGCTCTCAATAAATATTCTGCTCCAAACCTCCATTGTCCTTAAAATTCATTCTTCAATTTTAGAGAACATGAACTCATACTGGACATCTAGTAGACTGGGAGTTTCTGTCCCTTGTATCATAAAAATCCATGATCACTTACATACTAACCTAACATCTACCTTTCAAAAGCCTCTGTGTGTGTGTGTGTGTGTGTGTGTGTGTGTGTGTGTGTGTGTATGAATGAAACACTGCACGTGGCTTCCTTCCACAACTAATGAGCAGAATGAGCACCACATGTAGCTCCTTTAGTCAGGTAAAGAAATTTGCTCTTTGCTTTTATCCTAGTTTTTCTTGCTAAAATCACCTTCAGAGGATCTGTGTATAGAAGGCTTTAAGGTGACCCCAGTGAACCCTGCTGTTCTCATATTTATACCTGGTGTGCTCACTTTCCTTGAGTGTGGGTAGGACTCACTGACTCATTGTGATAAACAGAGTACAGCAGTAGCAATGGGTGCCATTTTTAGACTGGGTTGCAAAACAGACTCTGGCTTCTCTCTTGACACTCCTCTCCATCAGCCAGTGGCACGAGGGAAGCCAGCTGACACACTGTGAGGTTGTGTGGAGAGGTTTCTGTAGCAAGGAACTGGGGCGGTTTCTGGACCACAGCCTGAGGTTCCCTACTCAACAACCTGTGAGAAAATAAACCCTGCCAGCAACCACATTTATGAGCCAGAACCCACCCAATTGAACCTCTAGATTAGCCTGGAGCCTGTAGACACCTTGACACCCAGCTTATGTCTGATCTTGAACCAGAGGTGTCCAACTGGACCACATTGGATTCTTGACCGCAGAAATGAAGCGATAATACATGTTGGTTATTTGCTGATCTGAAGGTAATCTGTCAAGTAACAGTAAGTAATGAATCCAGGCTCTCAAGGCAAATTGTTTAGCACTTAGTGTTTTTCATAGAAAAAATTTGCATTCAGATAATTCCTCTTGAGTTATTTTAATCATTCATCCAAGTCTTCTTTAATTTTCTCTCTGAAGGCAGGAAGTGGAAGGTATCTGTTTTGTGCACAGTCCTTCACAGGGCCAACCTAGCTCAGTGCCTGCTTACTAAAAGAATAATGGTATATTACCAATGTGACTCTTCATCTGCACTTCTGCTTGGCCCTGATTTTTCTTCACTTTCTATAGTGCCATTTCTTTCGGAATCCAGACCTGCTAGTCTAGTTGCCTTGACCTTTCTCAGCTCTAACCTGCTGTTTCTTCTCTGGAACTTTATCACTGCTGTCTCACTGTGACACTCAGCATGGCCTCTCTCCTGTTCCGTCCCGCAGTGGAGCTGAGTCTATGTGTGTGCTCCACTGGCGAGTGGCTTGCTTTCTAGGGGAGGGGGTGCTCCTGTCTCCCCACGCGATACCTGTCACCTGACTCCTTGCCACCTGCAGGAAAGAGTGTGTTTTCTGTTGTTGGTTTTGTTTTTCATTCTAAAAGAAAAATGGATAAATGAATGAGGCCAAGAGATACTGCATGTTAAGCTTGAGGTCATCTTGAAATCTAGAAGCAGAATCACCAGAATACAAGTTTCCTGAAGGAAGAAACACCCTAACATAGCAAGTGAAATTTGAATCTAGGCTCTGCCAAATTGTGTGAACTTACAGAAATAATTCTAGTTCTTTCAATAAGTTTCTCATCTGTAACATGTAAATAATTTTCAAATTTACAGAGCTGTCTTAGGCATTATTTTTACCTAGTATTTTGCCCATTCCATATTTTATTTTGTAAGCGGTTCACTTCATATTTATGGTTGGAATTTAAATATAGCAAGAACATTAGCTAAATAGGACATAGCTCTATTTATTGTTGGTAACTGATACCACTAGTACTTTCCTCTTATTTCTTTATTAAGATGTCAGTAAACCAAGAAAAATGTTACTTTCAAGTAGCATTGAGAATCTTCCTCCGCCTGCATTTATTTGCTGTGTTGTCACAAATAGATTAAACATTACAATGTAATATAATGTGGGTGATTAGGAAATAAACCAATTTTCCCACTATTTCAGCAGATTCAGAAATAAGAAAAAAGTTTTCATATGAAAATAATTTTACTCCACTCTAAAAAAAATTGTTGAAATAATCATACATATATAAGAAATAAAACTAAAGCATATAAATCACTTTATAAGTCTAGGCTGGCAGAAATGTAAAACACTAACTAAAACTATCTTTATGTTGTCTAATTTTTAAATTAAACGTGTTTAGAAGCTTTTTTTAAACAAAGATTCAATATTCAAACAAATAAGGCATACTAAATATATAAATATTTCTAGTCTTAGAAGCTTTATGTAGTTATTTGCAACACAGAACTGGGCACTGAGCAAACCTTAGAGATCACGTAGTTTCCTGTCCTGCTCGGCTTACACAAAAAGAAGCCAAGCTTACAGAGGTTAAATCACCTCTAAGAGTCGGGATGTACTCTCAGGTCCCTAACTGAAAATCCAGGGCCCTTTCCACAACATGGAGCTGCCTTCATGTTTGTTTTTATTTGTTTTTCAAAAGAACATACACTGTTACACACAATTGCACAGGTACGCGCTGCTACCTACCTCTTCCTGAGACTGGTTAAGTTGCTGTATCAGTCGTGTTTGTGCTAGCATTACTCTTTCCAGTTCATCTGACTTCTGTTTCATCTCCTTCCTCAAGTCTTGGGAAACTGAATCATTATTGTTAATTTCCTTCTCTAAGCGAGATTCAAATTCTGCAACTAAATTTCTAAGGTTTTCAATTTCTTTTTTCTTTGTCTCAGATTCTTCAGTGTAGCGGATATGGGATTCATGAAGTTTTTCTTTGAGAGCAGTCACTTCCAGCCTTAGGTCTCTTGTAGCACCCGTGATCAAGTCAGATATCTGTAAGACAAATCTCATTTTAGGTGGTAGGTGGCAGTTTTTAGGTGACCATGGAGATCTGATGATTTTTAAGAGGTTTGTTCAAATACGTCAGTGAATTTGCAATTTTAACTAGATGAAAACAAATCTTGTGACATACTTAAGGGTTTAAGATTTTCTTTTGAAAAATTAACATAAAATTTTATTTTTTCTTCTATTTAAAATAACATCACATTAATGACTTGGACACTCTTGGAAATATAAATCTCTGTGACAATATTAAATTGCCAAGGATAGCTCACATCTTGACAAGTACATGAGGGGCCTGGTTGGACTTGTGCAGTTCGGCTTTGGGACTTGGAGATGCCTGATCAGTTAGGAGCTGCAGAAAGGACAGCTCTCAGCTGTGTTCTCCTCGTACGACACTAGTAAGTTTAAATGTGATGTAACTGTTTTCTTTCTCACACATCATGGCAGGAGGCACTCAGGCACTATACTTTCTAGAGTAACACTGCTCAATAGAACTTCTGTGTGACCTAACATGGCAGCCACTAGCCACAGACAGTTATTTACAGTGGTATACTGTAAATGTTTAACAGCTGACTGTGAAACAACCATGATGACACTACAACAAAACAAAAAGCCAGCCAACTCTGCATCTACTTCCCATTTTGTAAATATTTTATAGCTACCAACGTGATACCTCTGATTACTGAGTTCAGAAGACATGTCCAGGACTGGCTCTTGAGAATCAGTACTGGCTATGAGCACTTGAAATGTGATTAAAGTGACTTGAAGAATGGAATATTAAATTTTACTTAATTTTAACTAATTTATTTGAACTATAAAAGCCACATGTGGCTACCATAATGGACAGTGCAGTTTGAGAAAATACCAGACTACTGTGAAATGTATTGCTTCTTCAGGTGGTGACTCTAGATAAATGAGATTAATGAGAAAATAACTTGGAGAAGCTTTTCCTCATAGCATGAAATCTTCAGAAGGGAAAATATCCTTCTCTAAAAAACAAAACAAAGAACAGAAAAATAAGAGCAGGACTACTTCTGGTGAAGCACAAACTTATTAGTTATACCACAGACATTGTCATATTACAAATATTAGCACAACAAGAAACCAGTCCACAAAGAATCTGGAAAACATTCGTAGACCAAAGTTCCAAGGACTTTGTGAACTATTAAAAAGAGTGATGTATCCCAAATTTATTTCAAAGTTAAGTTCACATAAGGAATAACTTTTGGGAGAAATGTATTCACCACAATTAGTGCTTTTATAAATTACTATTTTATTATTTTCAGTTACTCCACAAGGGAAGATGGTAACTGCTAGATCTGAACAATGCTTTTTATCATCCAGAGTAGAGCTGACAATGAAACAGAGCAAGTTATCCTGGGATAGAAGTTTCACAGAGCCAAAAATATGTTTTGATTTTTTAAAAAGATATCGACATTTAAAAATCAGGAGCTTTCACTTTTCATAAGTTTGGACTTATGACTTCTCTTGAGAAACTGCACCATCTGGCAAATTGGGGCCTCTCTATTCGCTTCCCATGGGATCCTGAGCCAACCAAGACCGCAGTTGTAGTCATGAGTTGAGGGGAGAACGCCAAGAGGAGACTCAGTGGAGCTTTGGACACCAGGGACCAGACAGTGAAGAGGCAGGGCCTAGCTAGAGGAGATCAGAACTGCAGGTGACCTGATGCTCCATTGTTGCTATGGGATTTCACTTATGAAAATAAAAATTCAAAGATAAAATTATCAAGAATTTTAAGGCAACATCTGCAGAGGATTAAATCCAAACCACAAGGACTTTCGGAGCGTGGAGTCATGTGCTACACTGCTCATATAACAGGTAGCTGGTCCTACTTACTGTTTACAGTGGACTACTGAAATAGGTTTAATCCCCTTTACACAAATAGAGACCATCAGGCTTATTTGAGGCTTAATTAACATGGACTTGTCAGGGTTTGCAAGGGAAAGGAATATAGGACAGATAAATTATAGGATTATTTTATAACATTCATCCCAAAGAGTCAAATGCAAAAAGAATGTAGCAAATCTATCTACACAATAGAGACAAAAAGAATATAGATGAGGGCTTGGATCACATGGAATGTCCAGTATGAGTCTAGCTGAAGACTAGAGCCCATTCCAATGTCCTCCATGAGGCCAGTTGGAGGCCTACAACAATGTCTCATCCAAGGTGACATCAAGAATTTGCACAGGGAAGGCCCAAAGGTCAGTGGTGGAAGCTAGAAAGTCTGTACCAGGAGGATGAAGGAGCTGTGCCAGTAGGTTAAGGGTTCTACACTGGGGCCAGGAAGCGATGCTCAAAGTAAGGACAAGAGCTCCTTACCCCTCAGTGCCCCCCCGAATAGTACCACAGCCATCCTCAGTGACAACAAGATCCTGAGCTCCTCCAATGATAAGAACAGCCAAGTTCCTATCAGGAAAGCCAGCACAACAAGTTTTTCCAAGAGAACCAATAGCACACCTCTTCCTCTCCAGTCTCCTTTGATGTTGTTGGCAACAACCCGCAGGTGGACCCTCCATATCGGCACCACAGTGATTTAGTTCTGCTGGTATTAAAAATTGACCACCAGTTGTCAATCCAACATGGCCTCCTGATGAGTTTACTTAAAGTAAGATTTTCCTTCTTGGTCTTAATGCACACACACACATACCACTGTACTAAAAAGACAGACCAGCCAGGGGTGGATGCATACACCAACCATCCCAGCACCTTGGAAAGCTGCAGCTGGAAGATTGTGCGTTTGAGCCCAACTGGGCAATATAGGGACCTAGTTTCAAAAGAAAAGAAATAAAAAAGAGTTGAGGCTATAACTCAATAAAAAGGACCTGAGTTCAGTCCTTTGTACAGCAAAACAAAATGAAACAGCAAGATAAAAACAGAAAGCTTAACAAAATCTTAAAACTACATGCAGGACACATGGTCTAAGAAATCAGGTAAGTATGATTACATTTTTTAAATGTTTCTCTGCATTAAAAATGTTTAGAGTTGAGAAAATCTGCAATTAAAAAGGATATGCTTTAGTTGGGAAAATGTTAATTGCTTAATACCACCTTATCTTTTGATGTTCATTATTTGAAGTATTGGCCACTCTGAGTATTAGTTATATAATTTACACTGCATTAAAGGTAAATTAATTTCAGTAGGAAAATCCATGTGCAGGAGGACTGTATGCTTATATAATTCGTGTCAATTATCCATGGTGGAGAATAGCCAAACCATTTTGCTGTGTGGCCAGAGCCAAGGCACAGTCCAAGGCAGCTAAAGGAGTTTTAAATATTGTAGTGTTCTTAGGAGGAAACACCAACATTTGTAATTCCAAACACATTAGATAATGAACATGGCAATTATACACCTTCATTTGTAGCTCTTCTTGTTCTTTCTTATACTTTTGGATTATTTCTTGGTGTTTTTCTTTTTCAATATCAAGTTCCAGTTTTGCTTCTTTCTTAAAGAGAAGAGCTTGCTCTTCGAACTCAACTAAATGTCGGGCTCTTTCCTTGGAAAGTTCAGCTTCAATCTAGAAAACAGAATGTAACACACATGAAACCATTATACTTTAAAATAAGTACATATATTTATTTTCACTTTAATATTTTAAAAAATCTAACAGTATTTAATTGAACTAAAATTTTCTAGTATCAAAAAATTCTAACTTAGAACTTTAGTGAGAAAAACTGAACATGAGGCAAATATTCCAAGACCTAAGATTTTCTAAAACTGTAAAATTAGTAGAGAAGTTAGGACTATATATATATTATGGCAGTTTTCAGAAACACTAAAAGCCGAATCATTCATATTTAAATGACTAAGAACTGAGTCATTTATACTATAAACTCAGTCCTTGCCAGCAATCCATAGCCCCCAAAAAAACAGATTTTGATGCCCTTTGACTGAGTTCAGGTGACAATTCAGAGGTATAAAATGCAAATGTTGATTTTTCAAATAGCCCTTTCTTTACATAGGTCATGAATATATATATATATATATATATATATATATATATATATATATATCCGAGTGCTAGAGGTTACCTTAAAAATCCCCCAGTTCCATCTCAAGTTTCTGTGAATTATAGAAAGAAAAAACAAGGATTTTGGTTTGAATCAGAATTGAGTTTAAATCTTGGCCGTAAATCCTGGTTTTGTCACTTTCTAGATGTGTGATCCTAAGTGTGACCATAACGGGGTTATAACTAGTTCTCTGGGGAGTCATTATGAGTATTAAATGAGGTGAAGCACCTGTTCAAAGCTCTTACATGAGCAGGAATCCAACAATCAGTGGAGATTACTTGCATACTGTGACCCTTCAGTCTCCTCTATGGAATCTATACCAAATGACAGTCTTCTGTGTGCCTCACACCTCTAGAAACCACAGCTCACTCCTTCCCCAGCAGGCGTTTCCACTTAAGACAACATTGAGCATTAGGCAGTTTTTCCTTTAGTTGAGCCAACATCTTCCTCCATGTGGTTTTTACCCGATGGTTTGGCTCTGTCTACTACACTGAGTCAGAGAACAAACCTATAGCACTGGAGCCATTCACACCTTGGTGTTCATCCACTGGGATTAAAGGAAAGAGCCCAGTAACAGATTAGCTGTAGATTTCCACTCTGCCGTGCTGTGGCTATAGACGCTCATTGGGATAAATGCCAGGCAAATGAGGAGGGAAAAAAGTCAGACTTGACTGACTGTGATTCTGGTCTCTAAGAGGAGGAAATTATCCCTTAATTATCTTCAGGGAATACTGACACATGGGTGTTAGACAAGAAAGCTTGCCAAGAAAGTTTACAGGAAAGCTTTTAAATTAAATTTAAAAAAAGATTAGCCCCAGCATGGGTGAGTTAGATTTACTGCATTAGACACAGACCTGTGCCAAAGGCATAGTAATTACATTGGTTTTTTGTTTTGTTTTGGTACTGGGAATCGAACTCAGAACCTTGTGCTTGTCAAGCAGGTGCTTGTGCCACTGAGCTATATCCCTGGCCCAGTAATTATGTTTATATTCAGTGTGAGGAGGCATTCTGACTCTCAAAATAAATTTCTGGATTGTCTGAATAAAAAGCTACTGATGAGCTTTTAGGAACATTCTAGAATAGTTAGATGGGTTGCTCTCAGACTGCTTAAGACAAGGGAAGCACTCAAAAAATAGATGCTTTTCTGACCATCAGGTACTTACATCCCCTTGTGGATAGGTAGCCATTTAGACAACTTACAGGTGTCTCCAATAAGCCCCGAAGCCTTGCCATAACACTCTCCCCCAAGGCCTTTTTCTCTCCCAGCCAGCCACACAGTCAGAAATCAGTACTGCCCTACACTGAGTTGTTCAACCGAGTAACTGAAACATCATTTTTCTTACCTTCACACCAAACTAAAGATGCCTGAGATCCATCCATTCCTCTGGGTCTCTCCTTTTACCACACCAATTCTGGCCACCTTCATCTCCTGATCCGACTCATTTCCACTCTGGCCTTTGTCTAATCCACGCTACACATGGCACAGTGTTCTTTACACAATATAAATTAGATTCACTTAGTCCCTCCTAGAGGTTTCTCAGTGGATTAGGAAACTCCCCACACTACCAGGCTACACGACATCTTTGTGCAAACGGACAGCACTGCTTTCCTCAGATGAAAACAATCTCATGTTAGGTGGGGACTTGGTGAGCTGAGCGCAGGGCTGCTTCCGCAGCTTTGGCCAGGGCTTTTATGCAGGGTGCAACCTGAACTCTGTCTATGGCAGCTCTGGAACTCTCCAGCTTGCCTTCCCTGTTTTTTTCCTTAGATCTTTTTTTTTTTTGTCTTTTTCGTTTTTATCGGTACCAGGGATTGAACTCACGACTGCCTGCTTGCAAGGCAGGTGCTTATGCGGCTGAGCTAAATCCCCAGCCCCTCTTCCTTAGATCTTTATGCTTCAGCCACACTTGGGTAGGTAAGTCAAAGACATGAAAGGAAGAAGTCGGATGCAAAATATTTGGAAAAATGGGAAAATATAACTTTAAGACTTTACAGTTCACAAGATGCTCTGACACTTATTTTTGTAAAACATAACCTAACATTTTTTAAGAAGTTCAAGAAAATGTATGCCAAAGTACTAATATATCAAGCAGTAAAAAAAAATTTTAAAAATCTCTTGTGTGGTAGAGCCTAACAAATTGTGGTAACTGTGGTGGATCCTACAAATAATTATTTTAGAGAAAATATACGTATCTCAAAGTATGGACAGGCTGCTCAAAATAAGAGAATGAGAATAAAAGCAAACTAAATGGGACAGGACAAACTACAAATTAGATAACAGTAAGACTCTAGAAGCACCTTTTAAAAGAGATGTTTTTAAAAAGAAGTCCTTTACAGAAACTTTCTCTCTCTCAATAAATATATTCTGTTCTAAAAAAGAAAAAAAAAAGAAGCCCTTTAATTATATTTTGGAGAAGAGGTCATTTAGGAAATGAGTGGGGTCTCTTGATGTAGATGAAAGAAAGGAAGCCTTCCGGGAAAAAAAGGTAATGGCTTGAATGAGCACAATGTTCTGTTCCACGCAGGTCAGGAAGTGAGATCTTTTTGTCCACAAAACAGTCATTGTCATTACTGTGAGTAAAAACAGATAAAAAGAAAAAATGGGCATTACAGAAAAGAAAGGCCACTGTAGGCAGACAGGAGAAGAGTGACTACTATTGGCTTGATTTTTAATTTGCATAATTTAAGAAAGAGAAAGTGATGAGCTTCAGGTGAGATTTCCCAAACTTTAGGATGCCACATCATGATGTCAAAAGCCACTGGAATGTATTGACGTAGAGTTACTGTGCTACTAACCAGGAGACTCCTGGTTCCTTCATTATCTGATTAACTAAGTGAGGAGCCCACACAATGATTTGCTTAAGGAACTCATTATTTGCCGTTGAGAAGCTGAATGAATGCCAAGTTATGTGTTATGTTTTTACATAAGCTATTAGTTTAATGCATCTTAGATGGCAGGATAATTTATGCAAAATAAATTATTTTGACAATGATGCACATATATAGCATAAACCTTTGTATATAATAACTGATTTTTATAATTGTGGGGAAACTCTGATTTTTTTTTTTTTAATCAGTACCGGGGATCGAACTCATGACTGAGCACTTGCAAGGCAGACATTTATGTCACTGAGCTAAATCCCCAGCCCTAAGGTAAAAGATAGTACTAGTTGAAAACTACTGTTCCGATTGTATAGATTAAGAAATATACTTAGGGGCCAGGGATTTAGATCAGTGGCTTGAGCACTTGCCTGGTAAGTGCAAGGTCATGAATTTGATCCCTAGTACAAAAAAAAAAAAAAAAAAAAAGAAGAAGAAGAAGAAGAAGAAGAAAAAGATATATGCTTAGAAGATTAAGTGACTTCATTCATATCAGAGCACTAGTGTAATGTGGAAAGGCTGTGTATTACCCAGAAGTTTCTGGTAGACTCCATGGTCAGCATGCTTTATTTTCCCATGTAACCCATCTTTCCACATGTCTGTATGGCACAATTAAGGGCATGCCTTTAGTAATTACTTAGTCTCAAAATACTTTGAATTTTTCAAATAACTTACTCTTTTTTTGGCATCAGGAATTGAACTCAAGACCTCATATTTGCTACCAAGCTATATTCCCAGCCCTCAGGTGATGTTCTGATAATCATTTCTAATTTAGTTCAATTGTGGCTAGAGAAAACAATCTGTGTGACTTGAATCCTTTAAAATTTATCAACGTAGCTATGGCCTCTCCAGGGGGAGAACCACCAGTGTCTCCTGAGATCCGCACCATGTTGGAACTTAGGATGCTGGGGAACCAAGCAAGCAGCTCGCCTCCCTGGTAAGCGGCTGTGGTGTGGCAGGCTGCAGCCTCTCCAGGGGGAGAACCACTAGCGTCTCCTGAGATCCATGCCATGTTGGAACTTAGGACACTGGGAAATCAAGCAATCAGCCTCCTCCCTGTTAAGCAATAGTGAGTCTACTGGTGCATGGGCTTAGAGTCAAACATCCCACTTCTCCTGCCCCCCTTTAGCAAATGGGAACCAGAGATCTGAGCATCTCTTGGGAGGTTGACCATATGCAATATAGCAAATAAGGGGGATTTCCTTCTACCATCTTTTTTAAGGCAAATATTTTTACTGCTGTTTTGGCTTTATTCTAATCAATGGCACTGTTCTATTCAATATTCTGTTTTGATAAGTTCTATAATGTTCTGTACTTCATTTTATTTTGCTGTATGTGATTGAAAGAACAACTATTGTGATGATAATGAGATATACTATGATACCTATTGCTGTTATCCCGGTAACCTGCTGTGAAGTTCTGTACCAATTTCACTACACTATCTCAATTTGCAAAACTAAATAAAATAAAATTTATCAACACTTATTCATAACATCAATAACATCCATTTTGGTAAACGTGTCATGTACTATGAAAATAATGTATTCTGCTGTTAGACAGAGAATTCTATAACTGTCAACTAGGTCAAGTTTGTTAGTAGTGTGGTTAAACGTAGTTCTTAAAAATA